CCCCAAAACCCCAAAACCCCAAAACCCCATAAGATCAGATTTGTGAATTTTTTTTTGAAACAATATCACAATAAATAAATTAAATTGCAATATGATTGTACTAGTAATTTTACTATTGAAATAGTGGATTAAATTAGTTATTTAAGATAATTTACTGATACTATTTTATAAAAACAAATTTAATGATCATTGAATATTTGCTATTGACCCTTAATATTGTTTTGGTTCATAGCTAATAGAATATCTGTGAGTTGTTTTTTAATTTTATAGCATTTTAGGCTCCTTTGATGAATACTAAGATAGTTAATCAAATAACTGCTTCAGTAATGATTTAAGATTTTTATTTTTTAGAATGCGAAAATGCTATCTTTGGATGTTCATGATGCACCTAAATTACAATAACAAATGTTCCTTATGTTCAATGCAGTTAATGCGTTGATGGTTTATACTTGTTATAAAATGCAACTTATTAAGATAACTATCCAGAGAATTTTTCTTTTTGTGTTCCAGACTGCAAACAAGCGCATTCTTCATATATAAACAATCCAACGACTGGATAATGTACATGTAAATTTTCAAGATAAATTATTTATCCTTTATCCTTAGGGTGTGGTTAGCACTGTTAACTTTGCAATCCTGTTCATGGATGTGAAATTTGCCCTGGTGAGCAGTAAAATAAGAGCTGGGTTTCTGCTTAACCAATTTATAATTTGAATGTTCGTTTAAGTTTCTTCTAATGTCAAAGTAATAATAAACTTCGTTCTCATTTTGATATAATTATTTACCTAGAGTGCGCTTATTCGGATATGTGTGATCGGTGCAGTAAATCTGATATTAATAATTGCACACAATGTAGTTATCCAGTCAATTAGAAATCACTCATCCTTGGAGATTCTACTCTTTAGTGTGGTAATTTTTTTATTTTACTTGAGAAAATCAATAGAACCGTACTCCATATCTACTCATAGCTATGACGAGAACTGTTTGATCTATGACTATATTGACAAATATAATTGCTTGAAGTGCAAGCAAGGTTATTATATTTAGAAAAACTTTTTTTTCAATGAAACATCTAACAGAGGTTGGGATGGATGTGTACCGAGTAAGATTTAACTGCTTAAAAAAATTGCCTATAGGTTCTTAGAGTGATATTTGCCTAGAGCCTATAGAATTTAATTAGTGTAACTAATGTATTATGGGATACAGTCAGTTCCTTAATTCAGATTTAAGCTTAAAATGCTATAGTAATTATCTTTAAATTATTAAGTTAATAGAATGCGAAAATAATGGAAATTATTATCAGGATACTATAAGATGCAAATTAAAATATGAACCAGCTTCTTAATAAGTTATCATGACTTAATCAATTGGATGTCGTGATGGGTATGTTGATTCTATAACTGGAAACTGCACAACTAATTGTGGTATCGGTAGATATGGAATAGCTGTTTATGGATCAAGAGGATTATTAGATTCATCAACATGTGCTACTTGTAATCTTAAGTATTATATAGTTATAAAACAAATTTATTTAGCTGCTACGAATGTGTGAGCAATACGGAATGTATATCTTGTAAAAAGGGCTACTATTTGCTAAGTTCGTCAAGATCAAAGACTTCTGGCTAGTGTCTAGAGAAATCAGGAACTTTTACTGGTGAAATTTATGTAAGAGGTGCAAATTAGTACAGAGCAAATGTAGAAAAAATAGGATCTATTCAAAATCCATTCTATTCTATCAAAGATGCCTTAACGAAAGCATATGAAATGGGTGCTCCATTTAGCACAGCAAGAATTAGGATCCTACTTTATTAAACAGATATTCATGCAATAATCTCTAACTATACGATTGATCAATACATGCCTTATGCTTATGATTAAAACTCTCAATCAACTCAAATAATTATTGAACCTCAATTCGGTTAACCAATAACAGTCTTATACAAAATGAGAGGGACATTTAGATTTCTAGTAGGAGGAGGTTTAACTATTAGAAACATCATATTTGATGCAATTGATTCTGTAATTGATCCTTAAGTTGATTAAAATACTGATAATTGTCTGATGAATCCAAATGAAAACTGCTGTAGACTTATCTTTAACAATAATCAGCAAAACTATTCTTTGAATGGTACATCAAGCTGTCAAAATAAAATCCCTTAGTATAATTATGCTTTTGCTTAACTCTCTGAATTATAGGGCTGAACAATGTCTGATTCCTAAAGGTGCATCATTTATTTAGTTTGATTTAAGCAGTCAGTCAATGCTCAATTAGCCACCAACTTTGTATTTAGAGGTAACTATTAGATTTACTTCAATCTATTTTAGAATGTTGTTTTTCAAAACTTTATGTATGAAATTAATAGTTTTATTGAGCTGAATTAATTTGGAGGACACATAGTCTTGCGAAACACTAAATTCATCCATTTTAATACATGTGGCAGCATTATAAGAAATAAAAGGGTGTATTTCAAAAAGTAGATATAAATCAATGGGGTTTAAGATATGTATTATGACAGAGTTAATAACTACTAGTACGAGCTTAAGTAGAAGTAGCAAGAATTTCCAATAGATTTCAAGCCATATGATAATAGCTGTTCAAATCTTTAAAACTCAGAGAATTCTTGCTATAGTATTAACATAACTGGATGTGAATATTCCAACTATGGTTCTTTGATGAAAAAATCTGACAAAGTTATTGGGGTAAATTCTCAGTATGGGATGTAATACACCGGATTAATGCTAGATTTAGATAATTTTAATGGAAATGTTAGTATTGCAAGTAGTACTTTTATGTATAACAATATCAGCTATTAGTCTTGTGATTCAGCTTTTGATATAAGTAAAAACAAAATAGGAACTGATAATTACCCAAGTCTTGGTTCTAAAGATAAGATTTAAATAAAATCTGTAATATCTATAGTAAATCATGGAAATTATAAGATTGATATAATAGGTAATAGATTTTAATAAAATACAGCAACCAAAGGTGTTATTTATTTAGATTTATAAAATAGAACCAATTAAAACCGTTTACTCATTGAAAATAATGAATTTAATTATAACTTTGGATTTATTGAAGCCTCTGCAGTATATTTAAGAGTTAGAGGAGGTCAATAAGTTAACGTTATAGATAGCTTTCCTGATTAATTTTACCCTTATTGCTCAGGATATGCAATAATTGCTAACACATTCAATTAGAATATTGGTTGCACTACTATTCCATTTGGATTGCTTAAATTTGAGTGCGTAAACTTCTAATAAACTGAAATTTCCGCAAATGGTTAACTTTTATTACCAAATATAACTAACTAAACAATTAAAGATGGATTTTATAATGTTGAGCTTTCATAATTAGATTCTTTGATGAATTTAAATTAGCAATAATCTTTGATAACAGTGACGAATTTTGATAATACCTAATTAAGTTTTTAATAAAATCAATATATCAAGAATGCATTTTCAGGAGGCTACTCTTTGATTAATATTTTCAATGCTCCTAGAATTATTTTTTAATAAGAAAAATTCTTGGAAAACGGAGAAACCTTTAGAGAGTAAACTCGAATGATCAATTTAAGATCTTAAAATGCTACAAATGTAATAAATTCAGTTCAAGAACCCTTATATAATACCATAATTTTAACATCATTTGACCAAAGTCTGCTAGGTTAATCTTTGATTTCAATAAAAAGATCACTCCAAGTAATACTAGAAAATGTCGTATTTTAAAGCAACTTTATGATTGAATCTACCTACTCTACAGAAAGAGCTTAGTTAATCACATTAAGAGATTTTTATGGGCAGTTTAAAGCCAAAAGATTTTTAATTTAAAATCATTAGAGCCCAGTAAAGGCATGTAGTGTCTACTCTGATTCTTATTTTTTACAGTATGGAGTAAATGTATCTTCTAATAATTGCTATTATTTGCCTGCTAGTCCTCATCCTTTATTTAGATTTGCTCTTGATTACAAATTGAAATTCACAAATGAACATATGCTTACTGATAATTCAATTGTATCAAGCGAATATATCAAACATGATTCTAATTCTGATTCCTATTTTCTAACTAATAATATCGTACTTGCCAACTGGTTACTTCAGTAATCTTAATTAAATCTTAGTAATTTATTTATTTCAGGATTTAACTGCTATAATTGTACTTTACCAATTTTTGATTTCAAAAACAATACTTTTAATGTAATTAATACTACATTGAAATCAATGAGACTAACATTCTATTAATTACCAGGGTTATCTTATTAAGGACTTTCTCTTTCTTTTGCCCCAATTTTCAGCGTTCAACTAAGAAAGCCATTTATCTAAAATGGGTTATAAATTTCACAAAAATTCATAACTTAAAACTTGACAGTAAATGATAATCTAGGGAAATCAAGTACGAGCCGACTCTTTACTTTTACTTATTTACCTGCTAGTGGTCAACTGACTCCTAATGAAACACAGTTTATATTAAATAGTAGCACATTCACCAATATTTTTACTGAAGGGAACGGGGCTCTTGCATCATTTAATGTAGATAATATGATGGCTGAAATAAATAATTGCTATCTTTAAAATTTGAACAGTGGCTATCTATTCAGTTAAATTTAATACTATACATTTGGAGGATCCATTTATGTTGCTAGTTTGTAATCAATTAAAATTGAAAATACCAGAATCATAAATAGCAAAAATAGGCAATCAACTGCTACTGATGGAGGTGGAAGCTTTTTCTATGTAAAATAATCAGCTCCATTCACTTACATTTAAAAAAATACTTTAATAATTGGAACAGATTTTTTGTACGATCAAAATACTTTAATGAGCTATACAGCATCAAGATATTTCTCATAAGGTTCATGCATTCATATTGATACAGGAGTTTACTAATTGAACATTCAAGTGTCTGACTCTGAAATCAGCTAATGTGTTTTGACTAATAAGGGAGGTGCTATACTAGCAGAATCAACAAGTTAGATAAAAAATATCATCCTCATTAACAATTAGTATCAAAAAAATAGTGCAATTAGTGGTGGTTCCATTTATTGTTATAGATGTAATCTCACACTATTAAATAATACTTTTGTTCAGAATACAGCATTTTAAGGTGGAGATGCATTTATCCAAGAGCCTCTATAAGATATTTTATTTGATGGATTTTTTTCAAGCTCACCCTATTCATATGATAAGGGAGGCTCTATATATTATATAGATAATACCAAGACTAATATAAAATTACAAATTACATCAACTTAAGTAAAGCCGTCAAATTTTTCTGGTTGCTTAAGCTATACCTATGGATGTTATATATATATTGACGCCTATTGGAATTTGAATTTTATGATATAGAACACTATTTTTCTTGCTCATTCAGTTTCATCTTACTATAATGCATTACATATCAATGAGGATCTTTAAGGAAATCTTGATTTTTAGATAAACAAATGCACTTTTAGAAATTTAAATTTTTATTATGGTAAAGCAGCAATTCTTGGCTATCAATCTGTCTATTAAAATTCATTTGCAAATTTTTCCATTATAGATTCTGAGTTGACATCAATTTCAGCAAGTCAAGCAGGACTAATATATTATTAAGGACTAAATGATGTTTCAATCAAAATAGTCAACACTAACTTAACTTATGTTTATTCATAAAATTATGGAGGAGTGCTTTATATAAAAGCTAAAAACATATTTACTAGTTTTGAATAGCAGAATTATTTTCAAGGATTAAATTAAAGTTATGGAGCTGGTATAGCATATTTAGAAGCTTCATAAAATAATAATCTATTGCTTAATAAATTGTCAGTTAATCAAACTTTTTAGTAATCATAATATTCTTTAATATATTTGAAAGGATTAAAAAATAATGTTCAGATTATTAACAATACAGAAATTAAAAATATTAAATCTTCAAACTTTGGGGGTTTTCTTCAATTATACGGTAATGATAACTTCTTGAATATTAGTCAAGTAACTTTTTTTAATAATTATGGATCTTATAATGGACCAATCTTTCACATAACTGGATTAAATTATACTGAAATAACATTAGCGCAAAACTCATCTTTTATAAAAAGTTATCATTAAGAATACGGAGGTTTCATGTACTTGGATGTTAAGACATTGATTATTAATATGAGAGATATATTACTTGAGGATATATCAACATAAAGAGAAGGAGGAATTTTCTATCTCACGGAAAGAGCAATACTTTTTAATCTTACAGTAGATAATATCACAGTAAACGGTTCAAGATCTGCAGGCAATGGATCATTTTTATGCGTCAAATCTACTAATAATTACTTTGTAAATAATCCAATCTTAAATATCTTGATAAAAAACTCTTATTTTTCAATAAAGTTTTAGAACGTATATGAAACTAACTAAACCTTTACAACTTTTTATCGACAAATAAGCTATGCATCAGACTCTGGACAACTTTTTTATTTTGGACCTACATCAAAGGGAGCTGTTTTATCAATTAACAATACTTTCACTAAATTATATTACACAGGAAATGGTGCAGTATTCTACCTTCCAAGTTAAGTCTCATTAATAGATTAGTTTTCAAAAATTAGTCAATCTTCACCAATCTTAGGATAAATTTATTGTTAAGCTTGTAAGATGATCCTAAATGGTACTAAATTTATTGATAATTTTGCATACTCAACTAGTCTATTTTACTTTGGAGATTCATGTGATGTATAGCTTATCAATCTAGACCTATCATTAGGAAAAGCTGTAACAGGAACATCAATCTTCATTGGTGGAAAAGGAGCAATGAAATTTACTCTAAGTAATTTTGATAGACCAATAAGTTATTTTGAGTCAAGCAGTTCAGCAGCTTTTATATAAGCAATTAATCAGAACTTAGAGATTATTTTTGAAAATATGACATTTTAACACTTTAGTGCTTACTATTACGGGGGATTAATCCAAGCTTAATCCATAAAATCTATAACACTGAGAAATGTAAGCGTATTTAACTGCACTGCATTTTCAGGTTCTGTAATTTACAGTACTTACAATTTAAAGCCAACTTTCATAATTGAATCATCTAGATTTGTATGTGACAGCTAATTTAACTATAATGAAGTTAAAGCAAATATGGAATAAAAAGAACTGAGAAAATATGGAGGAGCGTTCTATATTTAATATGCTCAATCTGTAAATTCTAGCAATAACATATTTGAAAATTGTACTAATATACTATACTCAGCAGTTTTTGATTTAATAGGTACTTAACTAAATGATATCAACTCCACTTATAGAAATTTGTAAGGTTATTCTGGAGGAGTTATATATGGTTACAATTTAGAAATAAACTTAGAAAATCCAAAGCTTTACCAAATTATGAGTAAGTATGGAGGTAGTTTATACTTGCTAGGAGCTAGTACTTTAAAAATAAAAAATCTACAAGTTAATAGCACTTATTCATACTACTAAGGTGGATTTTTGTATTACGTGACCAATGTTGCCATTCCTGGAAAATCCATCGAAATAATAGGAAATACGTCGATCTATAATTCAGTAGCTAAGGGAGAAGGAGGAGCATTTTATCTATAATTTGTTGATACTGGCTCAGTAATTTTTGATGGAATTCTTAAAGCTGATATAATTAATTCATAATCAATGGGAGGATTTTTATTTCTAAGCGGAAATGCTGATATTACAATTAATAATGCAGTAATAACCAGAACATGGGCAGCTTAAGGCTCTGCAATCTTTGTAAACTCAGGTCATTATTTATCTTCTAATAGAAAAAGAGTAAATTTATCGAATAGTTATATCAGTTGCTATAATACACCTTATCAAGCAAATGATATTTCAATGCTTTATTAAAAAACAACTTCAACAACTTAGGATGGTTCATTCGATTAAGGGGGTGCTATTTATATTATAGATGCAAGCATTAATTTTAACCAAAATTCAATACAAAATTGCTATGTAGTCAATGATGGAGGTGGAATTAAATTGAAAAATTCTAACTTTATTGATAATGGTTCTAATTTTTAAAATCTTGCTGCTTAATACGGAGCAGCTATTTATTGCTAAGACTGTACTGCATACTTCAACAAATCTAATTTTTCTAATATTTATGCAAAAAATGGAGGTTTAATGTATGCCTAATACTCTTACAATGTAACTTTTGATAATATCACAGTTGATAACAGCTCAGCTTTAGGTTATGGAGGTCTAATTTATGCCTTATAGAATGAAAAATATGACATTTAATAATCATTTGTGGACGTTAATAGATTTCAAAGTAACATAGTATTTATAAATGGAATTACTTTTAATAAAATTTGGTCTGAAAAAGGAGGAGGTGGGCTATTTCTTTTTAATAAAAATCTAAATGTTTTACTAAGTCCTGGTTGTAAAGTATTCAATAGTGCAGTATCAAATGGATAAGGAGGATTTATTAATATTTAAAAAGCAGCAAAGTTAACAATCGAAGCTTCAACTTTCATAAATTTTACTTCTAATTTAGAGGGTTCCTTGATATATTCAATTTGGAGTGGACTTTAGTTAGTGATGAAAAATAATACATTTACAAGAAATGAGATTGCTTCAATTATAAGTTATGATGAGACAATTTCTAAAGCATTTATATTAACTCAGGGTGGTTCAATATATGTTAAGAATGCATAATATGAAGTGATCTCTTACAATAATCTTTATTCTAACAACTTATATTCTTCTAATGGAGGAGCTTTATATATTGAGAATTCTTCTCTAAATGATAGTTAATCTAGATATCTCAATAACTTCGCTTTAAACGGAGGAGGAATAGCTTGTGTAAACTGTTCATTAAAACTAAATGCATTAATATTTGAAATCAACTCTGCCTAATACCTAGGAGGAAGTATGTATATTAAAAATCTTGTAGGAGATTTAAATTTATAAGATCTCTAAATTTCTGATGGCTTTTCTTTTGCTGGTGGTTCAGGCATTTCACTTGAAAATGATGAGAAATATTTCTAAACTGAAATCTTCGAATTAAATATAAATGATGTAGTTATTCATGATATGAGAGGATATTAAGGTGGATTTTTATATGCTAAGAATAATAGTCATAATATATTTATTGAAAATTTCACAGCTTTTGACATTCAAACTACTTTTGGAGGTGGAATATTTTATTTAGAAAATATTAACAATTTGACTCTTAAAGATGGTGAGTTCTAAAATTATCACACAGCAGGATTACAAGGATCATTACTATATGCGAGTCATGTTGAAAATGGAATTTTCTTTGATAATTGCAGTTTAAAATGCAGTAGCTATTATGATAGTGGAATGTAGAATATCATCTCATAGTATGAAAGTTTTGCTATTGATTAGACAGAGAATGAGAATTCTACAGATTTTCAAAAATATTATGAGTAAACCTCATTTTTTATTGAGAACGTCTAAAGAGCTGAGTTTTTAATGATTAATATAAGTTAATGCTATATATGTAATAAATCAGGTGCTTACATCATTAGATATGCAAGTTTGTTTAAAGATTTTAACTCAAACTACAGAGATCTTTTTGGATTACAAGGAGGAATCTACTCCTTTAAGAATGTTGAGGTAGATATATAAAATATAAAGATTGAAAATTTGAGAACTGAGCAAGGTGGCATTATCTACTTAAATGATACATGTCCTATATTAATGAAAAACATTAGTGCCTAATATCTTTATGCTTATAAGAAGGCAGGATTTTTAATAGCATCATAAGAATTTCTTGAAGAACAATCATTATTTTAAGGTCCAAGATCATCGTTTAAAATTTCTATTGAAAACTCAACATTTAAGGATATCTATTCAAGAGATTAAGGAGGGTTACTTTATATAAGCTCCGATAATCTACAAGCAATACTAATGAAAGAAACATCAATCTAAAATGTAACCTCTCTTAATCAAGGAGGAATATTTTATGTCTAAAAATTTAAAGGAGAATTAGCTGTTGAATCTTTAAATAATGAAACAACTCTGATTTAAAGTCTCAGTTCAATTTAGGGCTCCTTGCTATTCTCCGAGTACAACGGTTTCTCCTTCAAAATAAAAAATATAGAAGTATAGTGCTAATAAAAAATGAATAAAACTTTTGAAGAATTTTTAAGCGACTCCTCTCTAGGATCTAATGTAATTTACATGGTTAACTCAGTGGAAGGGCTAACAGTAGAAAATTCAATTTTCAGAAACTGCTACTCTAAATAAAAAGGAGGTGTATTTTATATGGAATAGACAAAATTATAAAGCAAAAATTCGATCTTTCTTGATAATGCAGCTGAATCTGGAGGGTGCTTCTATTGTAAATCGTGCTAGATGTATTTTGAAAATGTCACTACTAGTTTTAATTAAGCAAAATATGGAGGAGTTTTATCTATAGATAATGATGCAAATATAACATTATTAAATGCTATTATGAACAATAACTTTGCTTTAAATGATGGAGGAGTCATTAATATGGCTCGAACAAATCTAACAAATACAAACAAAGCAATAGTGACAATTAATGATAGCTAAGCAATTAGAAACAACATTGCAAAGAATGGTGGATATCTGTATATTGACAACATAAATGCTGAGATAAGAATTTTTAGAATAAAAGTATATAATATTTCAGCGAATTCAGATGGAGGGTTCATCAGAATAATTAATGGAATGAAAGTTGATATCAGAGATTCATAGTTTAAACAATTTAAAGCTGAAGTTGGATCATTTATGATTTCTGAATCCCTTCTTATAACTCTCAATTATCTCAATAATTACTTTTTATGTGATGAAAACTATGACTATTTCTCGTAAAAGCAAAACCTATAAAATGGAAATTATAATGCAATCTATGGTTCAGTTTTTCATGTTACTAACGCAAAATCAATAAATTCTTAAAGTAACAACTATTAATAGTGTGGGCAAACAAAATTAGGTGGAGTATTTTATCTTTCAAAAACATAGCTTAATGATTCAAAGTCTTCTTACTCATTTATCTCATCCTTGAGTGGTGGTATAATATATGCTTAGGAAAGTATGATTCGCATTTTTTAAAGTGATTTCTAACAAAACTTAGCTAATCAAGCAGGAATTTTTCAAATATCATAAAGATCCGGATTATATATAGATAAATCTGTCTTTTAATATAACTTTGCTAATTATACAAGTGGGATACTTCATTTATCAACTTAATCTTACATGATAGTGAAAAATTCTGATTTTTCATTTAATTATGCAGATGAAAATTCTGTATTTGACATTAATGACAGCAATCTTGATCAAAATATAACAATAATTTCTTGCTAGTTTGTTTCAAATAACGCAACAAAGAATACATTTTCCTTGATGTATTCAAAAGTCATAATTTAAGATTCAGTATTTAAAGATAATCTAGCATATTAGAGAACTAAAAACATTTTCTGCGGATTCTCTAAAATCACTGTGAAAGGTTGTACCTTTTCAAGTCCAAGGATTCTTAATGTCCTTGACTATAGTTAATCTGAAAAAACTTAAGGTGCATTCTTTTTCATTATTTTCGATGTATCTTTAAGCATTTAAGATTCTTAATTTTCAAATGGAATGGCATAGCTAGGTGGTGCAATTTATTTGACAGGAGATAGTGATTTGAAAATATATAGTTCTACTTTCACAAATAACTATGCATTTCAAAAAGGAGGAGCTATTTTCGCTTAAAGTTTTTCTAATCTTTTCATCGGATAACAGTCATAATTTAGCAATAATTTAGCTATTGAAGTTGGAGATGATGTCTACGTGACTAATTCTGAGGAAACATTATCCCTTAGTAATGTAAAAATAAGTAATGAATATGCTAAAACTTCTATTTATTCTGAAAAAGCCGAAGTAAAACTAAGCAATGTGATTTTTTAAAATATTGGATTACATAATTAATCTTAAAAGGGAGCTGCTTTGTAATGCAAAGATTGTAAAGGAATAGAGATAATAAGCAGTTAATTTTTAAATCTTAAAAGTAAATTGGGAGGAGCTATTTATATCGAAGAATCAGAAAGTAATAAACATTAAATTACTTCATTGAAAACTAAATACTTTGTATAAAATTCAGTATTTCAATAATGTGAAGCTCTAATAGGGGGTGCCATATATCTTAATAATCCCTAAGACATTAACTTCCAGAGTTCAAAATTTAACTAAAATAAAGCATACTTTATCAATGAATACTAAGATATGTATAATCTAATGGGATCAGGTGGAGCAATCTATTACACCTGCCAAGCAGACTCATTAAATTGCAAAATGACTTTATCTGGCACAAATTCTATTATAAATAATGTTGCAGATATTTAAGGAGGTGGTATATATTGGGACTAACTAGAACCACAATTCAAGCAGTCAGCCATAAAATTTGGATACAATATTGGAAGATAATATGGCAATGATATTGCTTGCTTTTCCTAGTAACTAAAACAAATAGATAAAGAAAGATATGATTAGCAAATGATACTATTAGGATTGATGTTTAAAGATGATATCCAGCAAAGAATTCTTTAAAATCTATAAGGGGAAAATTTACTTGGATCTCAAGAAGCTTTAATAGAAAATTAAAGAAGTGGTGGATCAATCCCTAAGATGATAATGGCTCATTTAGATAAGTATGGATAAATTGTTGGGTCAGATTTTAAAAGTAAAGTTAGAGTTTCAGTTAATGCTACTTTTAATCAAGATTCTAATTCAAATAAATTCCCACCTATTATAGAAGGGTAGAGTTCTTTTGATACAATAGGCGGTATTGTTTTAATAAAAGATATTATAATTGCTGGAACACCAGGGTATGATTATTAGGTCGTGATATATTCTGATGGTATTGATGAAAATAAAAAATCTAATCAAGAATATAAAAATAAATCAAGTAGTCAATCTTTAGAATCAAAGATGTAAGTTTCTTTGAGAGAGTGTGAATTAGGAGAAGTTTACACAGCCTCTGGAAAATGTTAGTTATGTGAAGGGGGCTATTCTTTGAAAAAGATGACTGATCCTGGTTTGTGTATGAGCTGCCCTAATGATAAGGCTATATGCAATGGAGGGTCAGACATAGGTCCTTTGCCAGGTTTTTGGAGAAAAAATAATTTAACATCTACTTTTATAAAGTGTATGCATTATTCAGCATGCTTAGGAATGATTCCTCCAATTAATGATCCAATGGGATCTTGCTCAATTGGATATTAAGGAGTCCTATGTGCTGATTGCTAAATTGGCTATTCGAGATAAAATTAATATGCATGCCAATTATGTCCTGAATATTCCCTTAATATAGTGAGATTGTTTTTTATTTCTTTGCTTTTGGTAAGCCTTATTATATTTCTTATAAGTTAGACATTAAATGGAGCGAAAGACAAAAATAATGTGACTAACATATATTTCAAGATAATACTAAATCACTTCTAATTAATATTAATGACATCTTAATTTGATTTCTCTTGGTCAGAGCAAGTTTTAAATTTTTTTTCAATTACTAAGAATGTTGCTACTGCCTCTGCTCAGATATTTAGTTTTGATTGCTTCCTTGATTTAAGATAGCCCTTATAATATGCCAATGACGATAAAATAACAGATTACACATAAATAAGAATATTCTTCTAGAAATTAATATTAATAGCCTTACTACCTTTCTTATTAGCATTCTGTTGCTTTGGAATTTGGTTTATTTTGATAAAATTTGTTAAAAAAATCAAAGGTTATTGGTAAAAATCTGTATCAAGTCTAGTTATTGTTTTATTTCTAGCACATCCTAGTATAGTTTAGTATATGTTTTAAAACTTCAACTGCAAAGATATAGACAGTGAGTTAAGAGTAGAATAAGATTTAGAGATAAAATGCTGGGCTTCACAGCACTTGTATTTTAGTTATGTAGTTGCTATACCAAGTCTAATTTTCTGGGGATTGGGTATTCCACTCTTTGCTCTAATACTTTTGATAAATAAACGATATTCTCTTGAATAATTTAAGACAAGAATTTAATTTGGATTTCTTTATAGAGGTTACACCAATTAATTTTTTTATTGGGAAATCATAATCATGTACAGAAAGATCTTAATTATATTTATTGCGGTTTTCATCAACTATTATGGTGTTATTTCATAGGCACTCATAGTGTTCTTGGTTGTAATTTTGTAAGTAATTTTATCTTTAATTTTATTTAGGTTTATTACATTAAATACAAAGAATCATCCATTTAGTACTACAGCTTTAAATAATCTTGAAACCCTCTCATTAATAACTTCAATGATTACAATCTATTGTGGAATGTTTTTTATTATTGATAAACCCTAAACATGGATTGATTAAAATCCTGAATATTCAAAAGGATCACTTTCATTGTCCTACAATATAAAAAATCTTTTGTTTGCCATTATTTTAGCAACTAACATATTCTTTTTCGTTTATTGGGCCTATCACCTATTTCTTGATTTAAAAGCCAAGATAAGAAAAATAATTCCAAAAATATATCTCTACTTATGCTTATGTAATAATAAAAAAATTCTGGAGAAGGAGCTAAATGACTATTAATAATAACTTTAAAATGAAGACTTAAGAGAAAAATACTTTAGTTTTTTAACTGAACTTCAGAAATTATACTATGAGGGCAAATTAGTTTTAAATCATTAGAATATTGAAAAGCTGGAAATGTATTTTAATAGGAATTAAGTATTAGAAATATCAGGTGCTAAATAAAACTATATGGAGGAATAAATAGCTTTAAAGTAGCAATAAAGAAGCAAACGAAGATCTAATATGTTAAAAGTTGCTCTTTAAAATGAATTAGCAATAAATTAAAAAGAACTAGAATAATTGGAATAATTTTAATCAACTTAATAATTAAAGACAATTGATAGTTCTATTGATAATAAGTATTACCTAGAAGGAGAGAGTAGTCTTAGGAGTAATGCAGGAGACTAATAGGCAAAATCAAGTAAGAAAGCCAATTTGTGGGGTATTGATGCATTTAAAAGAAAAAATGATCTTAAAATGGCTAAAATAAGACCTTAGTATATTTAAGAATTTAATAAAAGCTTTGAACGTTCTCCGTAACCAAAATTTAATAAAAATAAGGTTCTGAAGATGAAATTAAAAACTTCTCATCTGAATACTGAAGAAACAGGAAGAAGTTTTAAGAATAATTTAAACAAACTTGATTAAACAAGAGACTAACTATTAGACGAGCTCAATGACTCATCAAAAATAGAATTTTCCAATTAGAATTCAGAAAGCTTTGAATATGATACTGATGATAATCAGCAAAATTTAAATTAAAAGAAACTATAAATTTTCAAGAAAATAACAGAGAAAAGCGCTTTGAAAAATGAATTGGAAGATAATGAAGGTGTAATTGTTATACAGAGAAATAAAACACAATTTATGATTAGAGAAAAAGCTAAAAGAAAAGGTAAAAATGCGCTTGAACTATTAGAATTAAAAAGCTCAATTTTCAACAAATCTTAGCAAAGAAAAAAGTAGCACAGGTCTGAAATAAATCAATTAGATATTAAAATGGAAGAATTAGATAATTCAGAGCCTGAAACCGAAGATGATATTAACAAATAATAAGTTCAATAATTGTAGGATGAATTTAACTCGTTTTAATCGTTCAACTCAAAGAGCTAATTGAGATAAACTCTAAAGACTGAATCATTAGAATAATAAGATTAAGATATCTATAGAGAATAATCAATAATTAATAAAAAAATTATAGTTCAGCAAGCTCAAATTAAATTTAGTTCCAGTAAATCTCAATTGGCACCTTCGGAAAATCCAATAAAAACATCAGTTGATAGAGATAACTAATACTAAAGTATCCTTCAAGAGAATAAGGCAATTCATGTGTTTTAAGATGCTGATAAAATCAAAGGTGATAGTTTAGGAGATATAAGAAACTATTCAAATCATCAAATTAGATTTACAACTGATAGCAAGAAGGAAGAAGAAAGCCAGATTATTGATTTCTAATAGAATAGCTATTGCACACAAAATGAGGGAGATTTTTCTCCATTGATGAATGCTGATATAATAAAAATAGGTGCTTTTGATAAAAAGTCATAAAATTTTGAGAAATTAGCATCAGATGATATTATTTAAGGAAATGATAATGATGATAATAAAGAATATGAGGAAGATAATTAGAGTGTGAGGGCCAAAGAGGCTTGGATTTTAGAAATAGAAAATGAACTTGAAGATTCTAGTTATGAGTAGAATGATGAAGATAACGATGATAATTATGAGGCTTAAGATTTAAATAATGATTAAAATATCGAACAAAATTGGAAAGATTTAAATAATTGAGATTAATTATTCCAAAACTGAGAGAATTTCACTTAATTTTTATAAAAATAAATGATATTTAGCTTAAATTTTTCAATACGATTATAAAAGTCATTATTTCAACGATTGGGGTTTTGGGGTTTTGGGGTTTTGGGG